AAACTCTTGCTAAAATTAACAGCAGTCAGGAAAATATGTATTTTCTAGATTGCAGGCCTAGGACAAAGTGGGAAAAAATATACGTGTGAAAGGGCAGAATGCCCCCACTAGCCGTTTTACCTATATAGGCCACACAATACTGCAGACGTATGCTCCCTGTCAATACACCTGTCAAATCTTTAGGCATATGCTAGGTTACTATTTGTTACCCTAGAGCTATGCTCCTTCCTTCAGGGCATTTAGCAAAGTTATTAGCATTCCTCATGAAAGATTTATTTGTGTTATTCTCTCAGCAGGGGCCAAACTCCACGTATGTTGTAGCATTTTGTGGCTGTAAGGTTATTTTCAAGTAGAACTGTTAGGATATTTCACTGAAGTGCTTTGCAGTCCACGTTCTAGTTCCCATATTATCTTAGCCACAAGAGTACACTACACTTACCTCCAAAAGGAGGCACAGCACATATCCCTACAGTTAATATTAAATGAATTACCAGTAACCAGTCTCAAACATAGCTTGCAAAGGTTTGTTCACATTCGCTCCTCCTTTTTTTCTTTTTTTAACTGAACATTTGCTTCTATATCGTTACCTAAAGAGTTGGGGTGGATTTTTTTTTTTTTTATCTGCTCTATATTTTCTAAAGAACATTCTCAGCCTTCCTAGGTTTTACTGTTGGAAGTAACAAGGACTGAAAAAGACAGATTTTGAAGCTTCGGTGAGGGGAACAAAAGACCTTCTCCATTAAGAAGAACATTCCACCACTAAAAGCTTATAAGAGCTGGCCTCCATACTCATTTCATATGAAATCTCAGTAAAGTCTGTATGTATTTTATTTACCTGTTCTTAAATTAAAATTTATACTTAAGAAAAAAATCCATTGTAGCAATTTTCGTTCTCATACATTTGCATGAAGCTTGGCTACCTTTGGTTTCACATACTTGCTTAAAGCAGCACACGCTGGCACAATTTATTCATCTTCCTGCAGGAAACTAAACGATACTTTTACTCACTTTCAGCCAAACGTAGCTGCCTGCACAAGCTCGGTTATCCTGCTACATCAGTATAGACACAGTTTAGAACAGCAACAGAAACTTTGAATCACTGCAGATGAATAGATGTAAACCAAAACAAAAAACAGGCTGCAAGTCTCAACTGCTTACTTTGTCTCTTGACTGCAAGGAAAGCTGTGAGATACATACTAGCCGTGGCGTTTAGCTGCATTTCTGAGAGGTGACCTGGGATAACAGTGATGCTACTGGGCTGCAAAAATAATGCAACAACACTGTGATGTCATTCCACCCATTGCCAGTTGCCAAAATCTGACAATACGCCAATAAAACTTGAATTTCTGATTTTTAAAAGTCTCATTTTTTCAAGTTATGAACTTTAAAAACCCCTTACAAAAAACAGAAAAAAGCTATCAGCACAGTACGCGTACAGCTCCCCTTTAAATAGCACCGCACACCATTTCCAGAATCCTACTCACTGCTACTCTTTCCTTAGGAGGCCACCTAGTCATCACTCCAGCACACCTGAGCATTAAACCAGGGATCAGACCCCCTGAGTCAGTCCTGAATGCTGTCTTCAGTGCAATATACTGCACGTCACTGATGCCCACTCTTCAGGACCAATGTTCCCACTGTTTTATGTTGACATTAATAATTAACAAAGAGAAAGGGATACCTACACTGTAAAATTGTCCTCTGCCATACTGCAGCTTTGAGACTTTTCCTTAGGCTAAAGGCGAACATAGTTCTTTTATGTTATCTAAACACCGTTTTAAAATGGTATCATGCATCAGTGATCAAGACTAAGTTTATTATCCTACAAACAGAAATTAAGACAAAGATATAACTGATTACATCCCAATAACTTTTATTAAGAGATGCAGGGATAGCATTTCTAAGGAAAGCATGGGCTCCACAAATCAACTGATCTACTACCCCACCACCAAGCTACAAAGCTGGCAGCGATGTAGAACGTGGTATTTGTTGCCCTACCGGGGAAAACTATTTTAAGTCTAATTAACATGAAATTTTTAGAATGCAAATGCTTTTCATTTATACATAAAACAAAATGCCACGACATTTCTCCCATCCATTTATCATAAACAAGTTAATTACTGTGTAACAAATAGCTCCTGCTAGAATCTGTATGTTTTGAGGATGTTAGAGAGCTGACTCAGGCAAATAAGATGAACCACAAAGTAGTAGTTAATAGCTTATGGCATACTTATAATAAAACAATGACTCTGTGAAAGCTCTTGTTGTCAAATTAAGGCTAAGCTATTTCCATCGGAATAAGTCAATTATAAGCAGTCATTATCTGTTTAACTTGATTCAAACCTAGAATACTATAAGCACTTTCATTTTGATACATTCATAATGATGCACATATTTGAGGGCTGGATATTAGAAAGCTTAAAAAGGAAATGAGGCTTTCATTGCCACAAAGCGTATCTGCGACACACGCACCATCTAAACTTCCCAATGCTGGCTGAAGTTCACCTCTATGCTGAGAGCTACATCCTACGTAAGTTCTGATAAACAAATCCTCGGGGAGTATAAACTGTCCCAGAACTCCCCACACCTCCTTCCTAAGGACAAAGTGAGACTTACGCAGCATGAAGACTTTGTGTTGGCACACTGGAATCCCTTGAGAGCAATTTAAACTACATTTTTTCCCCAAAATTCATGAAAGCACTGACAGGTGAAGCCCCTCCTACTTTTTTCAGGCAAATACTCCCATTTGTCCTAAAGATGAATCGCTGAATGCCGATGAATAAGATGGTGGTAGCTGGCAGCAAAGCTTTGCGTGGTTAGATGGTGTGAAACAGTACATATGTCAATCTATCAAACATGTTAATGTAAGCAATCTGAACCCATTTTTGGTCTGAACTATTGTACAATACCTCACCCAGATGGAAGAAAGAGATAAACATTTTATGCTTCAGGCATATCAAGTGTTAGGGAGTAAAATTAAATCTAAACTGGAAAACTACCAATTTTACATGCTAGAGTATATATAAAGAATAACATAAGCATGAGGAGTAATTTTATGCAGCAGGTTTTTCCCCCCAATTTTCATACAAATTAATGAGAAATATTTCTTTCTTCAGGATAAACAGCAGCATGTATTTGAGTGTAGACTGCAAAGGTGTAAAGACAATACTTTTTGTATTAGCAAACACAGCTTTTGCCCTTTTTTTCCCTTTCTCCTGCAGTTGACAAAGTGCTTTACACATCATGTACCTAGTGACAACGTTATTGGGACATGAATTTTACAAATAGTATGTGCACACATAATATTTTGAGGGCCAATTCGGCTCTAAATCAGTGGGAGTTTTGCCGTGACTAATACAGAACTACAACTGGACCCTAAAGGATAAAATTACAGTGTTCATTAAATATATATCTTCATTCAAATCAACCTGACAGCTTATCTAAACACATCTTCAAATAAATATGAAATTAATCAGCTGCAATTGAAATGACAGCCACTATGCTGTCTTCAGAGGAGTTAGCTGGCAATGACTTTGAACAGACCTTCTGCTCCATCCCTATTGTCCACCTACATAGCACGCAGCGCAACTTAACCAAGCACTAAACTGCAAAAAATACTCCTCCAAACAAGTATATTAATGACACGATTTTCAGTGTATTTGGAAGACACTGTATACCAAACTAATTTCCAATGCTAAAAAGCATAAAATTATATACTCAGCTCACAGACCCATCTGGAAAGCCTTACAGTATCTAAGTTGGGGAAAAATCCCTATTAAATATGTAAACAATTAGTACTAGGTCTCTGATATTTTCTGTGTTGCTACGTTCTTGGGTTTGCCTAGGTCAAACCCCCATTCGGTTATCTTTCAAATTAAGAATAAATTCCCAAACATCTACTAATTGATGCCAGGCCCAGCCAAGAGAATTCCTGAACAGCAAAACTAAGACAACTCGGCTCAGAAACAAAACTGTTTGCCAACTTGCACAGAGAGAAAATGACCAGTCTCGGGTCTTGCTGAAGCCAGAAAAAGAATATCGACAACATTTTCTCCCTTTCTAGTGAATCCAAGTAACGGAGCAGGTGTTTGCTCTGGAGGAAGACCAAATTCCCAGCTTTCTGACAAAGGGATATGCACGTGACTAGACGTACTCAGGAGAAAGCAGCAAAGGGCTTACAGTCCCTTGTGTGAAGTACTGAATCCTGACGTGCTCCTCAGAGCATTATGTCTTTAGAACTGCTGTAACATCCAGTAGCGATTAGTGATTTAACAAGGGTGTGGGAACACCGGGGAAGGGGAGGAGGGGGAAATAGTTTCTTTTTCAGTCTTTAAATTTCTCCAAGTAAAACAATGACGTCCTGTATCATGCAAATATAAACTTTAATTATTTTAACTTGAAAAGGAGACAGATCAATACACAGGATAATCTACTGTCATTCGGATTATGAAGATGTCTTAGAATTTACCATCACAGAAGTGGTTATAATCCTGCAATTACTATAAAGCTAATTGGTAGTTTCTTTTTGCCTGTGTTTTCATGTTGTCAGTGGGGCAGTAACAAAAATGAATGCCACATTTGTGAACAGAATGTCTGTAGGCTTGTTTACCACATTTCCAACAACAACGTCTGCTTTATCATGCATTTCAAAGCAGGGATAATTTAAGGATCTTTGGGTTTTCATACATAAAAATATCCTCTAAAATATCAGATGTAGAGTTCCTTCAGACAGGGTGGGAGTGGGAGACTCAAAAGTGAAGTGATGACCTTGCATACTATAGGCAAACGATCCACCTGAAGCAGACATCATGCGGACTTTGAATGATTCATCTGTATTCAAAACTGCGCTCAGGTAAATCACTTAGTGTTTCATCCTCCTACAAACTTAATTCTGCAGACAATTTCACCATCAAAACCAGTAACTAAGTCTCCTTTCACCTCCCTAAAACAGAGTACAACTGTTTTACTGCAGCATCGACTAAGTCTTTTGCTTCACTTACCTTTAAGTAACTTCTGTCCTTCCACGATATTCTGGGGGACGAACGCTGTGTAGTCGTCTTCTGAAAAGCCAGGCTTGCACGCGGGTCTAACTGTAAGATCCCCATTGTGCGCCTGCAAAATCAAAACAAGGGAAACATCATGACTTCTGTTATTTGGTACAATGCTTCGCTCTCAATGAGCGGGTGTCTAGGCGCAGACAAACCTGAACAGTAAAGCAGTGTGCAAGTAGAAATCGCCTATGCAAAAGCAACAACCTTGTTGGAGTAGATCCATACTGTAGCTGCAAAATTAAAACAGGGCAGAAAATAGTTGCCTGACTACAAGAGAGAGCATTGTTTGTAGAAAGGCTGGGATACTGGGCACTGTCAAAGGAGGGCAGGAAACAAAGAGCAGCAATTCATCAACAGGCACAGTGCTCACACTGGAGGCACGCAAAGGCCTGATGTTGCAACATCCACATCACTGGGAGTTTTGCTACCGACAAACTGGGCCAGCCCCGGACTGGAGGAGGAGAAACAACCCGGCTTGCAGCAGCTTTGAAAGCTCACAGCCCCCTTCCGTCCTCGTCCGACACTCTTGTTGCTGTTGCCTCTGGGACCCGGCAGGTTCTGCGCTTGCCCCAGCGGCGAGGAGGGATGGAGAGATCCCCGACCAGAACGCAACGACGCCTCAGAATAGCGCGGCCCTGTGCACAACCTGCCGGGAGCCGGGGGAAGCATCCAGCTAAACACGGCTGCCCTGCGGCCACA